GCCGCTCCCGGCAGCGCGGCCGGGCCCGGGTCACCCGCGCGCGGCTCCCCGCGCGGTTCCGCCAGCGCCTCCCGCCCCGCGCACACCTTTCCTCCGCTCACGCGCTCCCCCCGGCCCCGCCGCGCCCGTGTCCTGTCGGGCCCCGGGCTGAGGCCCGGACGGCCCCGCGCGCCGGGGCCGCTGCAGCAGGACGGGCCCGGGGCCTCCCCAGCAGGACGGACCCGGAGCTTCCCCCCTGCCCCAGGAACAGCAAGAATAAAGGGCAGCCCCGCGGCCCTGCTGCGGAAGGAAGCTCCACACCGAGGCCCATGAGGATATTTATTGTTTTACAGTCACTTCATGATTTCCTAAGTTCTGTTATAGCCACGACGTCTCTGGTACCGCGGAGCCGGTGCTGCCGCCGCGTCGCCCAAGCGCTGCTGCTCCGGCCCGGCGCCATCCCTGTCCCTGTCCCCATCCCGCCGGGAGGAGCCCGGAGCCCGCGGCAGCGCCCTACAAGCGCAGCCCCCTATAAGCGCAGCCTAATCCCGGGGCAGCCCAGGGAGCCGAGCACTGCGGGGGGCAGCGAGGAGGGACAGGGCACTGCCCAAGCAGGGGAGCATCCAGGGAGCGCGGCAGGGGATGTGCACAGCAGCGCGGGGCACCACGGCGGCGGGACGGGAAAGCCGGCAGCGGGGAGAGGGCGTCCAAGGAAAGGGCTGGAAGAAGGGGGAGAGCTCCAAGCGCTTCCCGGCTCCAGGAAGGGCCGGCCCTGCGGCCGGCGGAGGCGGCTCCATGCAAGCCGTGGCGGAAGGGGCGCCCGGCCATGCCGAGCAGTGCCGGCTCCCTCCTCGTGGTGTCCCGGAGCCGCGTGGGGACGAGGCAGCGCCCGGGACCCCGCGCGCCGGAGCAGAGGGCCCGGCTCCCACGAGCGCTTGGCGAGGGCTGCTCCACGCGGCGCCCCGCGCTGCCGCCGGCGCCTCTGGCCGTCCTTCCCCCACCATGCGGGGACGGGCTCTTTCTCTAGCACGTCAAGCGAGGACATTCATGCTGGCTCTGTCCGCGACCTGGCCAGGTGCTGGGATAGGACTTGTTGCAAAACTGAGGCATCCTCCGTTTGCAGCTAGTGAACCGCTTGCCCTGAAGGTCTTTGCACAAGGAAACGCCGGGGTGTCTGTAACAGCCGAGGAAGGGGCGAGAGAGGGACTACACGTGCCCAGGGGCTTCAGAGGAAGGGGTTGAGCCCCCCTTGGGCGGGCGGCGGCGGCCCGGCCGAGCCGCTCAGCGGCAGCAGTGGCTGCGGGAGGTTGCCGGGGAGTTCGGGAAAGGGCCCGGCTCCGGCCTGCGGGAAGGCACTGGCGGAGGCGGGGAGGGCCGCGGGAACGCTGCTCAGCGGGAGCGGCAGCGACGCGCTGTACGTCATGGAGTTGACGGGGCCGCCAGCGGCGAGGCCGGGCACGGGCGAGCCGGTCCGCATCTGGTTGAGCGTGGGCTTGGGCTGCTCGGCCACGCTGAATGGGTTAGTGGGCGACGGCGTGCTCAGACCTGCAGCGGGGAGAGCGTGGAGGGTGTCACGGCGGGCACTCTGCCCGAGCGGCCCCCTCTCGCCATTAGGAACGGCCGTCCCAGCGCCCCGCTGCCAGGGACCTACCCGAGAGGAAAGGGTTGCGCGTCTTGGTGGCCTGCGGCGGAGCCACCAGCGAGTCCAGGTTCACCAGGGAGGAGGCGGCGGGGCCCAGGAACGCCTCGGGGGTCTTGCAGTCCTTCCTCTCCTTGCAGGACTCGGGCAGCGAGTCTGCCAGGCTGGCCAGGTCGAAGCTCTTCGTCCCGTTCTGCTTGGCGCCGGGGAACAGCTCCTCAAAGGGGTCCAGCTCTGCCAGGGAGCACGGGGACCGCGTGGGTTGGGGGCAGCGGCCTGCGGACACTGCTGTCCTCCCCACGGGCCCGTCTCTGCCCCACGGGCCAGGACAGCGAGTCCCCCTTGCCCACATCATCCCTTCCCCGGCTCATCCGCCTCTCACCTACGGGGCTGCTGGACTTGGCCAAGGAGGACGGCTGCGGATGCTCCTGCTCCGGCTGCTCGCCTGGCTCCGGCGCCTTTGCAAACAGGTCAAAAGCGTCTCCAGCCGAGGCTGAGGGAAGACACGAGGCTCAAGGAGGGGAAGAACAGGGAGCTGAGCAGGCAGGGGGGCAACAGGTGTGAAAGAGGGCAGAATGGGGATGTGTGGAGCCTGGTCTGCACAAGTGCCGGTCCCTGCGCCTCGGTGCTGCCCTCGGGCCCCGCTCCGCACGCACAGGACCGACCGCTGTGCGAGGTGAGGGCCTGAAGATTCACACAGCAAGTGTGAGGAACAGCAAGGAGGAACCGAGAGCAGCATGGGCCTGGAATACGGGTTTCTCCCACCAGCAGTTCCTCCCCTGTGAGGTGGTACCTGCGCTTGGCAGCTCCCCGGTGTGACAGGGTCTCCAGGTGCTGCTTTGGTGGAGAGCAGCGTGCAGAGCCGCTCTGCACTGCCAGTATCAGGGATATCCCCCCCGGGAGTGCTCAGTTAACTATGCCAGGTTAATTAAAGCAGCCTGACTCTGCGCAGAAAGAAAGCCTAAAGGTCCCCCAAGTCTTCAGCATGCCAAGGAGCCAGTGGAAAGGTCCTGCTGCGGGGCTGGGACAAGGCAGGGACATGATGCCACGACAGCACAGACGTGCCTGGGGCTGCTAGGACATGGGAGCGATGGTGAAAGCCCGAGCACACCCAGAGCACCCGTCAAGCCTCTTACCCGGGTTAGGAGGTTGGTCAGTGACAGCAGCCCAGGGATCAGGAGCCGGCGCGGCGCCGGGAGCCTGAGCAGGTGGCGATGCCTTCGCCCAGGGGTCCGCAGAGGAGAAGCCGGCAGGCAAGGGCGTCTTTCCCCAGGGATCAGAGGAGGAGGAGGAGGAGGAGGCAGCAGCGGGGAAGTCCCAGGGCCCGGCGGAGGGCTGCTGGGATGACGCTGGCGGCTGGGACAGCGGCTCCGCGGCCGGGAGCGGGACCCAGGGATCGGCCCCGCCGGCCCACGCGGAGGCTGCCGGCTCCGCTTTGGGCTTCAGATCTGAAAGGAGAAGGGAACCGTGGGAGTGGGAAGGACACGGACCTGCAGAGCGGCATCCCTGCTTCTAGCAGCCACCCCGGCATTCAATGTGGAGGAAAGGATGGGGCGGAAGAGGGAGGCAAAGCGGGAGGTCTTCACTGCCAAGAACCGGGAAGGGACAGAGGAGGCTGCCACCCTCCCAAGCTGTGGCAGCCCCGGAGTTGTCCCTACCTGCCACATCCCACGGGTCAGACGTGTGGCTGGGAGGTGCTGGCGCCGGCCCAAATATATCTGCCAGCTCCATAATAGAAGACTGCAAAGAGGAAAAGAATAAAGATGAGAGAAGGCCAGGGAAGAGCTGCTTGTTCGGCCCAGACAGCTCTGGAGCCCAAGGTTGGATGTGGGCCAGTAAGCTCAGGATGGATGCGCTGCGCCGCTGCAGCCAGCTGGGCCCACAGTGGCTTTACCTGGCTTTTCTTCATCTTATCTTCTTCCTCCTCTTCCTCCCCGCCCTGGGCAGTCTCCTCCAAGGCTCTCTGCAGCAGGGAGTTCTCCCCCTGCCAAGCCCTCACCTCCTGCAGGGACAAGGGACGGCGCCGCTGAGTGCCAGCCGCTGCGGCGGGCACCTTCTGGAGCGACACCCAGCACCGGAGCTGCCACCGCGTCCCCAAAGGTCCCAGCAGCCGAGCAGAGGGCTCCTCTGGGGACGAGCCCGCCGCCAGAGCGCTCAGCAACCAGCCCCGGAGCAGGAAAGCCAAGCGGGTGCCCCAGTGCTCCCGGCGGCAGCGGCCACCGAGCCAGGCAGAGCCACGCGGCGCTTGCTGCTCCAGAGCCCCGGAGAGAAGCGCCAGTGCAAGGAGAGAGGAGCGCCCGGGGCTGCGGGGCACAGGTACCTTCTCGTGCTCCTCTTTGCTCAGCGCGAGCGCTAGCTGCAATTGCCTTTCTTCGTCTGTGCTGGAAAGTGGAGGAAGTGGCTTCTGCCAACAGAGGAAATGGGGTGAAATTTCAGCTTGAGCTCAGCTCGCGGGGCTGCTAACCGAGATCCCCTGCTCGCAGCCCGCTCTGCTGCGGCCTCTCGCCTGCCTGGGCAGCGCTCCGGTTATCCGGCCGGCTCCGTGCGGTGCCCCGGCTCCCGGCTGGGCACCTCTGCCTGCATCCTCAGGCAGTCCAGTCCCTTCCCCTGCCCCCCTGCACTTGCCTGTTCGTCTAGGGTGAGATGACCCTAAATTAGGCAGCTGGCATCTCCTTCTGGAGGCCTTTGAGGGCACAGCCTTTTTGCACTGACATGGCAGGACTCAGCAGAGGAAAGCGGATCACTCCGGTGCCACTTTCTTCCCTTCTCCGCCTAGCAAGGAGCTTGTGAAACTCAAGCCTCCAACTCCAGCACGTTGATTTTTCTGTCCTCCCTCCTCCAGGATAGAGACGCTCCGGTGCTGAGGTGGCATCTCCGGAGGGGCCGGACCGGCACCGCAGGGCAGCAGCCTGACCGCTGCAAGGGCGCGACGGGCACACTAGTGGGTCGTGCTCAGGGTGCACATGTGCACTTGTACACGTGTGTGAACACGGCTCCTGGGACGCACGTGTGCACATGCACACACGTGTGTGAACACAGCTCCCAAGGTGCACATGCATGTGAACCTGCCCCCCGGGATGCACACACACGTGAACACAGCCCCCGTGGTGCATGCATGTGCACACGTGTGTGAGCACGGCCCCCAGGGTGCACACGCATGTGAACACCCCCCCCAGGCACGGCAGCACGCGAAGCAGCAAGGAGCGCGTTCCTACAGCGCTCCTCACAGACGCTGCAGCTAAAACCACTCCATTTCCACCACAAATACCGGGATATCCGTTCCCTTAGGTCTCCAACGGAGCCGCTGGGCAGGGGCAGGTGGGCAGTGCAGCCAGCCCTGCCAGCGCCACGCGGCACCTCCAGGCTCGGTGCCAGTGTCAAAGACGTGGCCCGCGCCGCAGTGGGACACCCGGCCACGCAGCCCTCCGGTGACCACGTCCGTCCCTGACTTTGTCCTGCCTGGCACACGTGCCTGCGTGCCCCGGGCTGGCCGTGCCAGCCGGCGCCAGGCTCAGCCACCCTGTACCTAAGCTGTGCCCAGGGAAAGAGGGACGTGCTCAACGGTGCAGGGAGGCCCGGGAGTTTGCACCTTACTTGCTGCCTTAATGACCATAAGGGCAACAAAAATCAATTAATTCTCGTCCAGCATCCTCAGCAAGGCAAGCTGCTTTTCTGCAGTATTCCCAGCACTCCTTCCAGCCTAGTTTTACAGGATGAGCTGCACTGGAGCATGCCCAGCAGCACATGGCCGCAGTGAGTCCCCTGCTGTCACACAGGCCCTAGGGACAGGCTGGTCCCCATGGTGGGAGCAGGAGATGCAGGAGGTGACACCTCCCAAACCCACGGGGCAGCAGCAGGAACGGGGCAGCTCCGGAGAGACTCGATGGAAGCGGCAGCCAGGCCTGGGAGGGAGCCGTGAGAACTGAGCAGGATTTTATGGATTCACCCTGCGATCCCAAAGCTTCCTGCACGCCTGGCTTGATCCCAGCCCCGATGTCGTCCCCGCTGGCAGGAGGACAGGCAGCCGGTGCCTCCCTCCACCTGCCCGCTGGCGACGGGGGATGCAGGGCACAGCACGAGCAGCCTGGCGAGGTGGCAGGTTGCATGCGCGGGGCAGCCGCATAAACCCTCCCTCCGACCAGGCTGCCTCTCGCCCCGCCACGTGGGCGCCGCGCGGCCCCGCTACCTTCTCGGCCTCCTCGCGGCTCATGGCCAGTGCCAGCTGCAGCTGCAGCTCCTCCTCGCCCGTGGTCTGGGGCCTCGCTTGCTCCAGGTCCGAGGCGAAGCGCGGCGACGAGGACGAGGCTGCGAAGAGAGAGGGAGGAAAAGCTGAAGGCTGGAGCAGCAGCGTCGGGACTGGGTTATTTCCAGAAGCACCTCAGCTCCATCTGCCTTTGCAGACACCCTCCCACAGCCCGGCATGCCACCCCCTGCCCAGCAGCTCCGCAGCACGGCTTCCCAAGGGAAACATCCCAAGCTCAGGGCGTGCGATTACGAACGAGCCCCGGGATGCGGGGCTGCCATCGTTGGCTCTCGGCACGCAAACCCCGAGGGTGACACCGGCCACGAGCGCCTCGCGAGGCTCCCTGGGCTCCCCCCGTGCCCGTGCCCGCCTTGCTCACAGTTGAAGGAGGACGGCGAGCCCCGCGTGCGCCCGTAGTCGTCGCCGTAGGGCGAAGCGCGGCGGCCATAGGAGAGCTGGTGGCTGCCGCTGCCCATGCCCTCCAGGGCCATGCGCTCCTTGGTCTGCAGCGCGTGCGCCCGCTCCTGCTTCAGCCGCTCCTCATCCTTGAGCAGCGCCATGACCTGCTTCACCTTCTCCCGGATGTTGATGCCTTGGTCCTTGCCATCCCGGTCCACGTACTGGAAGTCCTTGAGGGTCTGGATGGTGTAGAGGTTCTCCCGGCACTGGTGGGTCACCTTCTCGGAGCCCGTTTTGATGAGGTAGTCCAGGAGCGTGAGCGCTTTGTAGACGTGGCGCCAGTTCTTGCCGCTGTCGTTGAGCCGCCGCCAGATCATGCCCATGACCTCGGCGAAGGCCACCGTGTTGAAGGTGAGGTCCGCGATCTCGGACATGAGGGAGCTGGGGGGCCCCCATGGGTCATTGGAGGTGGCCTCGCGCACCTTGATCTCCGCCTCCGAGTAGTTGTGCACGATGTTCTTCACCTGCCGGCGCAAGGCCGAGGTGGTCATGGCTGCGCCGGGCGCCTGCGGGCAGCAACGTCACGGAAGGAATGGTCGCTCGCAGCCCTGCAGGCACCTGCAGCAGAGCAAGAGACAGGGCCGTGAGCAGCGGCTGGATGCGGGAGGACATCCCAGCACAGTGACACCCGTCCCCACCGCCCTAGAGCAGCAGCACCGGGGCCTGGGACAGACCCTGCAGGCTGGCGACACGTCCCTGACAGGCCACCAACGCTCACCCAGGGGCACAAAAAAGGCTCAGAAGTAAAATCCTAGAAAAAAAACGGTGTTTGGCACTGTAGATCTGCTGAAAGAGTCGGCCTGGGATCCTGCAGCAACATTTGGATGAGCGCTTTAATTGCAGTTTTGCTTTTAACCACCCCGAAACGGCAGCTGCTTCCCCTGGCTTTCACCCTCCCGGTCCCACAGCCCTGTCAGCTCGCGCCGGGCCCTGCCGCAGCCGCGGGGCTCCTCGGTGCTGCCCGGCATCCTGCAGCTCCAAAATAAACCGGCGTGACTCAGAGCCCGCTGCGACTGACAGCGCTCGCAGCTACTCGCGCAGGGATTTTTTTTGTTGTTTTTTTTTTTTTTTTTTCCCAAGCAAACTTGGTAATTCAGCCTCTTGGCAGGCCGTGCACCCACGGCGGTTGCAGCCGCTGCGACCGGRGGGGCAAATAAAGGGCCGGGTCGGGGGGCCGGCGCGGTGCCTCCGCACGAGCAGCAACCCCGGCCGCGATCCCGGGCCACTATCTGGGGCCGTCAGCGGCGCGTGTGGCGCGCGATTAGCGCCGGCCCCGCCGTGCCGGCCTCGCGCAGCTCCCGGGGCGCCCCTCCGCGCCGGGCGCACGAGCCCACGGCGCCCGCGCAACCCGCGCCGCCCGTGCGGCCTCGCGGCGGCCGCGGGACGCAGGTGGCCGCTGGCACCACCGCACGCGCGGGGCAGCTGCGTCTGCTCCTCTCGATGCCCTCGAGGGCTGTGGGAGCCGCCGGCAGAGCCCGCGGCCGGGAAACGTCTTTGGCGCCAACGCCACGCGAGGCGGCAGAGCCCTCCCGGCCCCGCTCCGGCCTCCGCTCGCAGCAACCCCTGGAACGGGGATGAAGTCGCCCCATCCGGGGCACTGGCACAGCGGGTGCTCCGGGCGACCCCCGGATCGGGCACGACACCCCGCAACAGGTCTCCTGTGGGACAACCCCCATCCCAGCACCAGGGACATGATCCATGCCGGACTCGACCCACCACGAGGCTTCCCGGGAAGCCAGCGCGGGATGAGTGGGAAGGGAAGGGCGAAGGGGCTGGGGGTGCGCGGCCGGGCGGCGGGAGCCGCGGCGTTTGCTCCAACGCAGCATCCCCCGGAACGCGAGGAGGGCAGCGAAACAGAAGCCGGGCGCTCAGACAAGGCAGCGGCAGGCGGCTCATATGGAATTACTGCAGTGACCTTGAGCGGGAGGCTGCCAGGTGGGAGAAGGACACGCGGGTGCGAGGACAGGTCCCCATCGCCCGCGGTGACAGCAGGGACCGCGGTGGGGAGGGAGGCAGGGGGCGGCAGGGGAGGGAGGCATGGGACCAGGGGGTGGCCCTGGCGGGGGGTGGCACTCGGGAAAGGGAAGGGAAAAAGGAAAAAAAAAAAGAAAAGAGAAAGGAGGATAAGGAAGGGCAGGGGGGAATATGGCAGGGAGGGAAATAAATAAATAAAGGAATAAATAGTCGCTTAATCTTTAATCAGGTGCAGGGCTGGGAGCAGCCGCGCACGAAACGCAGGGAGAGGCCGGGAAGAGGCGGCGGCGCGCGGGGCTGTGACGGGCCCGGGGGGCCCGGGGGGCCCGGGGGGCCGGGCGGGCGC